AAAATATTTTGTATTTAGAAGTGCTTATACTATTTCGCTACTTAGCGAATTTACCCTCCTTCTTCAAGCCAGATCTCTCAAATCTTGGCTTAAATAGCTACCTGACTATAGTATTTAAAATCATAAACATAATTTCATAGCTCATTCTTGAAGAATTGTTCTTCACTCTTCAGGTTGAATGTATTGTAAACGATTGAATATCAAACATTCTTAATATTACTACCTTGAATGTCTAACAACATCCTTTTGTTAAGTTCAATCAGAAAATGAAGATTAAAGTCATGATTAGATTGAAATTAACAGATGCTGCAATACTAATCATTAAAACCATCTCCTCTAAATTAAAAATGGGCTTCACTAAATGGTTCACTAGCTACGTTAATGATATTGTTTTGACGGTATAGATAAATGCCCTAGTTGATAGCATAATTATTATTAAATAATAAATTAGGATTTTAAATAAAATAAAGATTAATCTTCCTTAATCGTTGTAATATTTTTCGTATTAATATCTTTTATAGTTTATAAATAGATGAGATCATCACCAATGATAAATAAGTACCTGTAGCTGATACTTCGAGGTCATGATTGAACCACAATTAAGCGTTCATGGGTTGAATATTGACGACGTAAGCTTATCGTCAATTTATGGCCTGATTAGGCAATAGTGACCTTACAGAGATATAAAAATTTCACGAAATTTACTGCTGGCTACGTTATATAGTATCGGATCGATAATAGGCGGCACAACAAAGCCTGACATAGCAAAGATCCGAATTTGTTGTGTTTGTGACATCTAATATTCACAAGAACCAACTGCCACTAAAGCAATCATTATAAATAATGGCAAACCAGTACCTTCAGATACAACTGATATAAAAATTGCAAGAATAACTTTTCTTTTCATACGTTGATTGCAACGATTTAATTCCATTGAAGCTGGTTGAATAAAAGTAACGTAACGATAAAATTTAGTAGCAATAATTGTATAACAAACTAACATCAGTGCAATAGGTGTTACACGCGTTAAGAAGGCTAGAATAGAAGTAGTATAACTTAACGCTTTTATTTCAATAACTCAGAATAGAGCAGTATAATGGAAAGATCTTTATTCCAGAATAGATACTCGGAATTATGCTATTTAGAATAGCTAATAACCAAATGTAAGTCAATATTTCGCGCGTATTTGGAAAGTCATCGAGTGATGGCGTAATTGGGGTATTGCTTAATATCTTTACAACAAATAGCTAGTAATTTAAGTGCAGAAATAGAAAAAGCCGTTTAAGACACAAATATGTCCAATTTACATATTACTGTCACTAGTGGTGATAATGCAAAACGTCTAAGAGCAATAGCGTCTACAGTTCCGTTAAATATTACGGCAATCGAAAGCAACATTTCTGATAAGGATAAACTAGTGGTTAAATAGTTAAATGGCTCATAGAGACTTTTATGAGTGATAATAATTGGACAAACGTCGCTATTGAGGCAAAATGCAATGATTCTAAATACGATCTGAATAGCTATAGATGCTACTAATCGATTTAAAATGAATTGACCACAGGTAATATTTGACACGTTATACCAAGAAGAATCCATGACCAATATTTTTATTACTGAATCAGCTAACAGAATGGTTAGAAATAGCTACAATACACTATGACCAAGATGATAAATGCACCCTCATAAATAAAATTTGATGGTAAATAATGATAACGCCTTTATTGAAGCATTTTTAGTGTTGTAAATAATTGTTTAATGAAAAGTAACTTCCATTGGTGATATCAGTTAAATAATATGTGTAAACCGTTACATACATATATATGAAGATTAAAAGTTTAATTTTTATAATATATAATTTGTCACTATTTCAGTTAGTTTTTTTACCAATTATTCATTCTATTGGTCTTTTAAGTATAGTAACCATAAATTACTGAGAATAATACAAAACATTTGCCTTAATTGATCTTTCTTATCTAAGACATCATTAATTACGGTATTATTGGTTCTTGTATTAATGGCATTAATAAGAGCATTTTACCATTAGACATCAGCTTATAATTGATCTTTCGAATAAATGAAACATTTTTTTATATAATAAAAAATAAGAATTATGTAAATAATGTATTAGAGCCTGCTTCAAACCAATAAGCTGAATGAAATACACTTTCTTAGTTAAACTATTAATCAGAATTTTATTATCAAAATAACTGTAACAAATTCTTCTTTCTTATTAATGTTCCAAATAACAACTTTTATTATTATTTTAAACAGAGTAGTAATAGTAACACAACAAGTCAGAGATCTTATAATTCAGGATTCAGTTGAGTTATATCATAACATATTTATCTATATGTTTGTAATCATGACACATTTGGTGTTGTTATGAAAATATCGCGCTCTTTCGAAAAGTCGCACGTTGTTAGCCCAGCGATAACATCTCAGTAAGGCTATTCTCTACATAACAAAATAAATTATATCTATGTAGTTACCGATACCTTCGCTTTTCTCAAATAGCCAACTCGCATTGACAGCTAGGCAGTGCAAATAGAAATGTACGGACTGCACTACATCATAACGCTAATAAAAGTAGATGAAATATCGCCCTTAAATATGTAATAATTTAGCTTGGATGCATCACTTTCTATATCATAGATCACTTTTGAATATAATAAACATCCACTTACAATCGCACACAACGTACTGTATAGTGTACACTGTATTCATCAATTTATAACACCTTCTCCTATTTGTTAAATTACTACTTCAAAGGTGTCCATCCAACCCTTGAAGTAATTTTTTAATCAGATATAAGGTTCGATGTCACCACAGTTTACATACTGCTTCATAGTAATCTACTGTCCTACTGCGTTTTATGCGAATTGTTAGCTACAATAAAGTATTAGTTTTCTCCTAAGTTGATGTAATTCTCTGAAATAGCAACTACTTCAACCTCTGCCTACTCATCAAACCCTCTGTCTCAGGCTACTATAACCTATGAAGAAAAGATGAGTAAAGTTTCCATCAACTTTTTCCTAAGATATTGCATAATTCTCTTAAATGGCAAATACGTGATTTTCTGCCGACTAATTGAACCCTCTATCGCAGCGTACTACAGCCTAACCAAACCTTCGACAGGTGTATCTAAGCCCAGTAACGAACGAAGTTATAATGGTAACATATTGAATTGGATTCAAGAGTTGCAGTAGGCAAAAACTTTTGTCAAATACCATCCAATTGACTGTGATAAACAATTTGTCAAGTCTATCACAGTTACGTCATTTCGAGCAATGAAGATTATTATTTGTTATACAAGACCGTCTTTATTTCATCATTTATTAAAGGCTGCAGCTTAATGCATTACGTTATTTAGTTTCGACTTTTCATTAATACTTTCTTATAGTGTTTCAAACAAGTTAGAAATTGTATTCTGATTTGGTTTACCATCCAACGCAGGTCATTATTCAATCAAGGAAAGTATGTTAGTGCAGCATGGTGCATCTTAATCTCCATGTAAATTAATGATGGTAATGAAGGCCAAATAAATACGATCGCATGATTTCAAGAGTGGCCGAGCTGGGTAACTAATTTGAAGTTATCACTCATATTCATTTTCATGCCGTGCTCTATCCTTCAGTAGCTTCTACACAAGTACTCGTACATTAACGATCATTCATGAAATTCTAGTTAAAATGCCAATGAAAATTCTCAGATTGCTCTATCAGCATGTACATCACAATGTCATTAATTTCGTAGTTCTTTATTTACAAAGATGTATTCTATCATATTAAATGCTCATTCCGTGGACGAATCATCTACACTCTAGTCTAATAACAACGATCTTGACTATACCAGTACTTCTTGTGTAATCTATTAATCTCTTCAACTAAATTTTTGAACGACTACAGTTGTCATTTATTATATCTTTTAGAACGGTATAAAAGTATAAGCTTTAAATTCGCTCTTGATATTCGTATGTTACCGGTATGTCTCATAGAATAATTTCAATTACTGACTACAAGCACAAGATGCGACTGCTTACATCAATCATTAGGTGTAGAGAACTGATCTAATCATGTTGCTATTTTACAGTAGCAGAATTAAAATTTGCTTAGATCGAAATTAAATTCATCGCTTTTTCATATATTTTATAACCATATTTACGAGTGACTTATGGATCTAACGACGCACTCCATAAACAACATTACATCATTAGTGGTCCATTTGCAATCAACAAAATATTTTATTTTTCTTGTATAAAATTAGCCTAGTTGTAATAACAATATCTCTTTCAGTAATTATGATCGGATTTTTACGTAGACTGCGTGCCGTAGCAACGCCCTAAAATCCTTAGGGCAAGGACGATTAATTAAATAACTTTTTTGTTTGCTAGGCTACACTCACAATCACCCGCTGATTGTGCGCTAAGTATCAAAGAAACCTCAGAAAATAAATATTAAAGACAATTTATTGTTTTTCAATATAAAAGGCAAGCACAATGAAATACAAGTAATTATTATTTGATTAAAATGTGTCGAAAAGCTAAATAGTATTTCAATTATTACCGAATCATTCTATGACTGAACTCATGACTTGTCTAGTTTAAAAAACGATAATTACAGTAGTTAATATTGGTAAGGATGTTTATCTCACTATTAGAGTTTATTGTATTCTACCACATTGAATAATCTTTCATCTCTGCCTCTACGTATTCCTACTATCTTGCTAATAGAATAACAAAGTATGATACATTACTAGACGAATAGAACGAAAGAAGTATGCATAGAATTATTACTGTACGTTTATTAATAGTAACCATTCACTAATAAATCAAAGTCAATATTGCTTGTTATTTTCTCCTGCCCTTTTATCGAGATAAAATATTAATTAAGGTAAGGTTCGCAGTTTTAGTAACATTAGCACTAAAGTGTTACATTGTTACAATTCAGTCATTTTGTAGCATTCAAAGCTAAAAGACGATTTTTTCATCTGTTGCTGCTATGTTTTTATCTAATTTCGCATCGTATAAGAGAGCACATCAATCTCTACATCGTTACTTCAGCTGTACAAAATGGCTCTTAATCGTCCAGATAGTGATTTTCTTCAATCAACCATCGCAAGCTACAAGCTATACTTCAGAAGCGTTAGCTGATGAGGTTCATCAATTACCAGGCTTAAAACAAAGTATTAGGTTTAGACATTTTTCCGGTTACTTTAATGTAGGTAGCAACGACCGTTTGCACTACTGGTTTTTCGAATCCCAAGGTAATGCATCAGCTGATCCAGTTGTATTATGGTTAAATGGCGGTCCAGGTTGTAGTTCTTTATCTGGTTTAATTAATGAACACGGTCCTTTTTCCATCGAGGAAGACCTAACTTTGAGTCTACGAAATACTTCTTGGAATAAATTTGCAAATATAATCTACTTGGAGTCGCCAATTGGAGTTGGTTATTCTTACAATACGCAACAAGATTATACATCTAGTGACAACTCAACAGCTATGAAAAATCATCAAGCGATTAAGGAATTTTATAAGCGATTTCCTCAATATTCATTATCAAATTTTTATCTTAGCGGCGAAAGTTATGGTGCTGTTTATGTCACAACGCTTGCTCTACGATTGATCCAAGATTCAAGCCTATCTTTAGCTGGAATCATGATTGGTAGCGGAATATTTGATTTTCAAAAAAATTTTGATTCTGCTATGTACTTTGGTTATTATCACGCATTATACGGTCCTGTGCTTTGGGATAGAATAAAAAAATTTTGTTGTTATGCCGAAGAGAAGTGTATCTTTTATCAATCTAATGAGCCGATATGTCAATTTTATTTCTTGAAGGCTTACCGTAGATTGTTTGCTGACGGTCTAAACTCTTATAATGTATATCAAGATTGCTGGTCGGAAACGCCATATAATACTCGACTACAATATTCGATCAGTGCTTTGGCGCCTAATAAATGGGATCTTGAGTATACGACACCACGATGTTTTAATCGCAGTAAAGAGAAGATATATTTTAATTTACCTCAAGTGAGAAGTGCCTTGCATATTCATAGTCAAGCTTCAACTTGGGCTATTTGTAATTCTAATGTATATCGACGCTATCAATTTCAGTACAAGTCCATCCTTAATCAGTTGCAGACACTTCGAAATTATCGAATTTTACTTTACTTTGGTGATACAGACTTAATTTGCAACATTGTAGGCGGACGTTGGAATGTAGAACATTTAAATCGAACTATGATACAGGAGCTGCGTCCTTGGCATTATACTAATGAAAATGGTAAACAAGTTGCAGGTTTTGTTGAGCGTTTTCAGAATTTAGATTATTTAACGGTTAAGGGTGCTGGACATCTTGTTTCGGAAGGGAAGCCCAATGAAGTGATGGTTATGTTTAAAAGTTTTATCCAAAATGTTAATTATCCGTAATAATGCTCTATTCACTATCGACGAACTGATATCGAATTAGGCAAAACTGGCAGCGCTAGAGTGTCTCTATATTACAACATTTTTCTATCATGCAACATTATTTTATCATGGTCTTTGGTTATTTTCAAACCTTATTTTTGAACCGAATATATCTATTGAACTCTATTTTAATCGTGCTATGCAATTAACCGTGTAGCTGTAACCAAACTAATAGAATAATATAATAGGTTCAAAAGTCTAGATTCCCGAAAGTAGACATTTTATTACATACATTATATTCAAATTACATATCTACGACTACTAACTACTTAGCAAAGTATTACTAAATCTACTCCATAGCATTCTTAATTAACTGGAAGACTTAATTAGCATAGATTCTGCTTGTCATTTTTTGAATTAATTCATTTTGGAAGGCTTTTCATCGTTTTGCTAATCTAATTTTAGTCAATCAATCACTTACGATAGGATTATAAAGCAACATCAACCACTGGTTAAGATCGGATTACTGTATATATAAGAATAATATTTAATTACCCGAATCTAATTTCAGCGCATAATGTGGCGTATTATGGATTATCAAAAAATTCTTTTAAACTTGCATTAAAAAATGTTCTAATTATAATCATGCACTAGCAGGTGATTGTAATAAATTGTGTAAAAATTTGCAATACTGACTCTAGGCATTAAACTGATTTGACGATGTCATCTACATCAGTTGATTTCACCTTTCGATAAGAAGTGAAATTTAGGTAACGCTCAATTACGTTAGTGTTAATTTACGGCACGGACACGATGCCCAATTATAAAGGTATGCATGGTAGCACTATGAAATTGATTTTGATGCAAACGGAATGATACTCCATAAAACCTTCATCCCTTTTATTTCAGCGATTATTTCAGTTAGCAGTTTTGATTAACAAGTTTTAAGCCGTAAATTTATTTGTTCTGTATACAACGGTGAAGATGGTTATCTAAATTCCAGTACATCTCTAACCTATACTTTAATGCTGTTATCATGTAAACAAAAAGTTCCCTCTGTAACTCTTATGCCATGTAATTATGATATGACTAAAAATGTACAATATCCCATCGTGATCACATAGGCAGTCATCATTTAAACTAATTAGAATGAGGTTAATTACAATGCGCGAGTGAAAATATGCCTGTTTCTTAATCAAAATTTTCTTTCTGCAAATATGTTGTACGTTTGATGTTTTTGACAGTTAATATCTGTTGCAGTAATTTACTTTAGATTAATTTCATTTATTGTCTAATTACAAAATTTCGATATGCGAAAAGATTTCAAGTTCTTATAATTGAACATTAGAATGAGGGTATGATTATTCGGAGTTGATTAGAAAATAGGTTATGATTTCTTTACTTTTCTTTAAGAAAAGAATAGCGTAGTTGATCTTTGAATAATTTTGTACGTGTCCAACAAATATTTATCTTGTAGTAACTTATATAAACGAACGAAAGATTAAATCCTACCAGATCGGCAGATTTTATTCTACACTACTTGTTTACATATAGTCAAATATCAACCGAATAACACCAGAAGTAGAATTATAATGTTATCTTGCGGACATAGATCATTAAATTGTAAACATAGATAGATATGCAGGCGGTCGGTGATAATAGCGAAAAAAGCACTATAAATCTCTGAACGGAGCCTTGTCAATTATAGCTCGAATTATGAAATCCTAAAAATAAAGAAGTGGTAGTAAATAGTCTTTGAAATCGATTAATGTTATACTCGTGCAGTAGCCATCGTTCAGTACTTCCTTTAATTAATTTACCAGGATGCGATCTTAGTTAAGACATGTAGATTGGAATTTGTCAATTCCTTCTGTCGTACGCTTATACTATTTAATTCTACATTACAGTATGATCATGTTTTTCGTTGCTTGATATACTTATTACGGTACAATATTTCTCATTAGTGATGCTTTGATGACCAATACTAGAGCCATCAACTATCCTTATAGCCGTGTTAATTTTCTTATCTTTCACGAACTTAAATTAGTAAATGTATTGGCATAATGCTGTTATTATAGGACAAAGATAATTGAACTAGTAAGGAAATCAATAATCATCATTACGATAATTAATTATTCCTATCTTGAACAATATCAAATTATCTTCTTATCTAGCAGAAATAGCTGTTCCTAAAATTATAATTACGTTCTATCAATTAGCGTTATTGTATCATTAAAATAATGGTGAAGAGCCACTATAAGTCTAAATTTCTCAATTTCAGCGGTATTTGCCTTAGAAAAAGTAAGCATACGGTACTAAATATGACTTGAGATCGATCAATTCAATGAAACTTTCATATTCCGAATGATCAAGCCTAACTTATTACACTGGTGCCAGGCACATCAAGCTCGAAGAACCACTGGTTTGATTCTATTCATAATGTCCTTAATGGAAACTACCAAATTTTACGGTCATTCGATCCAGTAGATTGTTTTAATAAAGAAAAAAAGGCATAAAATTACTCATTTCAAAGTCAATAATACATTAAATTGCTTCTTGAATTGTCTGTCTTCTATTGTTACCAATTAAAGAATAAGTCTTTGAGATACATATATAACATATATATATAAACATGATAGACGATTACAAACACGAGATGCCCATTGTCGTGTAATCATTTATGAAATCATGCTCTTGCCCGAAGCTGCGCTATTTTACTATTGAAAGCGCTTTGAAAATATTTTTTACTTAGCAGACATACTAAGGTAATGACAATTGATGATATTACGTTAGCCTAGGAAAATATATTCGTATATGTTGGACCCTACTACTTTGTCTTATGAGTTAAATCGCTTTTAGAAGTGCGTCGAATCAATTTTTACCGTAGTGCGATTCTAATTCGATATTTTTAATGTAATTGGTGCATTCTATTTTATTCTTGGATTCATTGATAAAAGGATAAAACCAGGTTTTCCTACGTAATAATTTAATAAACAGCTCAAAGTCGAAAAGGATTTAAACTTACCTCAAAAGTCGTCATTCTTACCTTACTAATTTAACTTGGTTAGATAGCAATTGAGCGGTATGGCCGATCACCCATTCAATTTTAAACTAGTATGGCTGTCTATTGCCTTTAGCTTGTTGATAACTCATTCCATTCCTGCTGTACAATGCAGTAACATTGTCTATACTAAAGAAGCTTTAGCCGATGAAGTTCTTAGCGTGCCCAATCTACACGGGAACATAACATTTCGCCATTTTTCTGGTTATTTGAACTCAGTCGATGGCGACATGTTGCATTATTGGTTCTTTGAATCAACAAAGAATCCCACCAGTGATCCTCTTGCCTTGTGGCTAAATGGTGGTCCTGGTTGTAGTTCATTACATGGACTAATAGCTGAACACGGGCCTTTCCATGTATCAGATAATCTACAAGTTCATTTACGCGAATATACTTGGAATCGTTTGGCTAACATGCTCTATATTGAATCGCCAGCAGGTGTTGGTTTCTCCTATAATAAATATACACGATATCGACTCAACGATTCTGCTACAGCCGAAACAAATCTTGTCGCTCTTCAAGAATTTTTTCGAAGATTTCCAACTTTTAAAAAAAATGATTTTTATATCACTGGTGAGAGTTTTGCTTCAGTCTACCTTAGCACTTTAGCAGTTCAATTAATGAAAGATCCATCGATAAAATTGAAAGGAATTGCTATTGGTAATGGTATCCTTGATTATGCAATGAATTTTAATTCTTTAGTGTACTTTGCATACTATCATGGATATTTTAGTACCCAATTGTATCAAAATTTGATTAAAGCCTGTTGTGTTGGAGACATATGCAAGTTCTATGAAAGTACTAATACAACATGTAAAACACTCTACCAAAAACTTTTTAACTTAGTTTTCTTTGGTGGATTAAATCGCTATGATCTGTATCAAGATTGTGTGTACAAAAGTTACAAATACTCACAAAATAGCATCAATGTTAGCACTAGTCAAACATTATTGATGGAGCTGGCTTATAAAAGTTTCGCTACGCCACCATGCTACGATGATACTAAAGATGAGAAGTATTTACGCTTACCTCAAGTTCGCCGAGCATTAAATATTCATAGTCAGTCATTGAATTGGTCCTTGTGCCGTACATTTGTTCAACGAACCTATAAAGTACAAACCTTTTCGTCCTATAAATTATTTCCATTACTACTTGAAAAGTATCGTATGTTAATATTTTTTGGAGATTCTGATGGTACATGCAATTACTTAGGTGGTGAATGGGTGATGAAAGAATTAGGTTTGCAACCAATTTCGGCTTATACACCATGGCATGTCACTAATAAAAACGGACAGCAAATAGCCGGTTATAAAATTACGTATCCTAACCTTCATTTTGTCACCATCAAGGGTGCTGGTCACTTAGTGCCTGAAGATAAACCACAGGAAGCATTTATCATGCTTCAAACTTGGTTGGAAGCTAAGCCGGCTACTTCCATGGTTGTATCTAGTTCTACAGCTGGTTTCATAGTAGCCGTCGTTTTTATTGCAATAACACTATTGATTGAGATAATATCTTAAAATTACCGTATTAATGTCGCAATATTCTAAAATGGCGCAGTTTGCTTTATGAAAACTTTCTCATATAATACTTTTAGTTTGCGGCGTTCAATAATTGCTCTTACCCAAAAGGTTTCGCTTAAAATATTCATATGCCTGCTGCAGTGATGGAAAATCTGCATCATTGATGTAATATTATTTACTCTATATTACCATACACGTTTGGCAGAGATGAATTGGATTACATGGATAAAAATTTATGAAACGATTATTAGACTATAATAATCTGTTTCCTTTATGATACTCCTCAAGTACGAGTTGAAACATAAAGCAATAGTTCAGATATTTCTTGTAAAGAATATTTGAAGTAATATACGGCAATTTGCGAAATTGCTTGTGTTTGCCGTAATTAGTATAAATATTAAGCATCTAGGTAAAACAAGCAAGACATTTAATGTGGTAGTAAATAGCAGCATTTTTTGTATCCTCCAAATTATTCTTATCGCATAAAATACCACAGTGTACTTCTCCAGATCGCGTTTAAACTAATTCGATTATGATATGCAAGGATTAGTTAGTAATATTTAAACTTATCAAACAAGGTAATTTAGGAAATTAATGGTAACTGAAAGATCCTAAATATCATTAAATATTTTTTTCTTATTAAATTCTTACATGTTCTGTAGTACTTTAATAAACTATTTTAAATATATATCTAAGACATTTCGGACATCTTTAGTTTTTAAATCTTTTTGCATTGCATTGCACTCCGAAGTGAAAGAAAAACTGTGGCTTTAGTAAGCGGTAACTAATAGTTTGCAGGAAAAAATTACCCAACATTTATTCGCAAGCCTTTACTTGCTAAGTATGCTGAAGGTTTATTTTTATGGTTAATAGACACTCTGTGATAGAAGCAAGATATTAACTGTACATCTGGCATATATAATGATAACAGTTGATTACTACTTTTACGTTAATTTTGTGATAATTTAACAGCATATTGTTCGTATACTCTTGCAATCACTAAGTAACAATACAATTTACTTGCTGTAGCTCAATTCTAGCTAGTAATGCATTATCGTATAGATATAAGATTGATGATACGTCTATATCAATAAACCTTCCATTTCCTGTATTGCAAGTCCATTTAGAATAATCTTCGAGCACCGTATTCTACCTAAGGTGGCATGCTGAGTACTCGTTATATGGCATTGCTAGGTTCAGATATTCGATTCTATAAATAAAGTTACTTTAATCCTGTAAATTAATTTATTTAGTCCCGGAAATGTTGAGAAATTGATTAACTTATGAGTGAATATCGTATGGTACTCATTCGCTTACTATAAAATAATTTAGTATATTCTGAGATTGCTTTCTTTATCGAAGCAGATTTCTTTCTCTACGAAATTGCTAATTGTAAGAAATGCCTAATAATACGTTATTGAAGGCGAATGGAAAGCCAACGTATGCAGATACGGAAGTGGCATAGCCTAAAAATTTCTTCAATACTATAAGTGTATACGTGATTTCAGTCTATTTGATGGAGTCGATTAATTGTTATAAGAAATCGTCCAAAATACTCCCGCTATGATAAAGACGTTATTATCTAAACGATATGATAGAATAGTTTTATAATTAAAAAGAGTTAATCTCTAAATTTATTGCAGCTCTTTCATAAATTCAGTAATTATATCAGCATTAGTATATCGTTTGATCTTAAATTTATTCTGATATTTATCTATTACGGCTAATCCCATATTGACAGATTAAAGATTAATGTCTGTATTATTATAAATAGTCTAGAATTGTCAACATCGGTGATTAGTGTCTGTAAAATTATAAATAGTCGGGAATTGTCAACATCTGTGACTAGATAACACAATCACAGTTAAAATTTCTTATTTTAAAATCTATTGTATATGAATTCTTTCTAATATTTATATTTTAAGATTACTATATCACATCTAGTACATCTGGCATTTATTAAATTTGAGATTTAAATGAAAACTAGCCATAGAAAGAGCCGCAGCTACTTTTTAACTCACTATTCTTCATAGATAATGACAAATAATTGACTACATTAATTTATTAACGATAATTGTATTTTGGATTCCGTAATTCAAAAAGCAATAATATTGTCGTTAGAATTTATTGACACCGCTCCAATTCATTAGTGCTTTCTTAAGTTATCCTTCTGATGATACTATGCTGTAAATACGGATCTGCCTGAATTTTAGTGCGTATCGGGAGGATGAGCCTCGCATAACAATAACGTAGGTTTATTTACAAGTGGACTTTATTTCCGTCTGATTTTGTTTTCAAAATTTTTATTGTAAATTCCTAATATTTGGATATAAAATTACGATATTATGAAGGCTTTGGAAGATTAATTGGGCAGTGCTTATTTATGGAGGTGACTAGACGATATCATAACTCGGGATTATAATTTGACACTGCTTTTACTTGTAAAGATATTTTTGTAAATTAAACAAAGAAGAAATAAACTAGAAATGCCGTTCTAATATATCACCATCAAATTTATTTTGACTTGAATTACTCAAAAAGACACTATAAATATACCTCTTATACGTGAAAGTATTAATCAAGCTGTTTTTCTCAGTTAAAACGAAAGACAGCTATTAGTTAAGCTCCGCTACTACTGATAGATATTGTCTTACATTAATATTAATTAATACTGAAGTTGTGAGACTTTTTCATAGCAGGTGATATATGTTATCCGCTGCATTTTCGTAACATCTAACAACAATTTTACTTCGACATGATACAGAACATTATTTAATTTCTGATCTATAACAATTATATTAATTCTTATTCTATAATTAGTTTCATGGACTGGAATCTTTGAATAATTAATCAATCATCAAATAATAAAGGTGGAAATTTTATGTTATTCTACAATACCAGTTTCACGTTATATCATGTTTTAACTGAATTAAAATAACCAATTTTGTAATGAAATTTGAATCGATTGATGTAAAAAATTTTTGATTACATGGTACAAGTATCGTTAATAGCATATTATAGACAACGCATCACAGATATCATAAGCTATTAGTGATCAATTTTCTTTAACCCTTAAGACCGGTTATTTTGCGATCCTTATAATGCACTCTTCCGTTTGGATTTTAAAACTAAGTATCACACTTTGTGGATTAGACCATTCCATTAAGCTGCCACCATGCAACATGAAAAGTTAAATTAATATGGATAAACCTTACACATTACCTTTTCAATCTTACATTCTATTTCTCCGTCATTATTAATTTCATTTAAGAGACATTACACGAAATTCTCCATGTTTGCATACATGCAATCACTAACTTTATAATCCATTAAATTTTTAAAATGGAAAATTTCATTTCTATTATCACAGCACCATAGTTATAAAACTACCAGTCATATTTTTATCGTTCATGAATGCAAGTAAAGCAACATAGCTAACTCAATTTTTCCTCACTTTTATGAAAATTTTGATAACTTCCTTGAAAGTTGTCTTCAATCATATTAAATTATTGGCATGAATTTTGATCACCTTACTAGCATTGTAAAAGATCTCATTACGAATTACAAATATTTTTATATTTACTGCAAAGACAAATTCTAAATTTTATAACCTAATATAATTACTGAGTGTAATATATAAGTCGTATATAAGGCCAGTATTGATTAACACTAAAATGAAAGGTGGCACTAATCTTTAACTCGTCATTGTTATATTCCAGCGACTATAAGATAATAGACAATAATGAACTTTATCTTACAGATCTTGCCACCCTAGGTTTGGCTATTATCAACTGATGATTGCAGCTAATAGCAACATTTACAAATTCTCTTTAGAATCTAATTACTGATTGTGGATAGTGGACGTTAATCACCGAATTAGTTTATAGATATAATATAATGGGCTTCATAATTATTAAATGAGCAAAATTTTATACTCTGAATTATATGTATTGCAGTGTTTGTTCCTAGAAGGCTGTGGCCTCGTTAATTTTATGGCAGATCTTTAATCTCTCTAAACTAGATTTGAGTATAATATCCTACATTATCTGTTTCAATTTAAGAACACTGAACTAGAAATTTCTTATGATAAAACTAAACTAATGTATAGCAGGTTTTCAAAGAAAGCTTACATTTATTTCTATACTCAGACAAAAGATAGCACAAAATGAGAGTATGATTACTAAAAGTGTAAGCTAGTGATAAATCTTCTAAGAACAACATAACCTTAACAAGTTATCTGAGGATACTTGCAAAAAAATTATTTTAAGTCTTCAAATGATTTGAACGATTCTTTACATCGGGTATTGAAAATACTTCAAATCGATCTTCGATTTATAATTTGTGGACATCATAATCAGAATTCCCATTGATTATTAATCTCAGCAATTTAATTTCGTGTACCAGTACGTATCGTAAGACGTTATCTAGAAATAATTAACTTAATTCTTAAAAAGGTTAAATATGTTAGGTAGCCGCTATCAGTTTGTAAGTAAAGCAACTCGAAGACTATTTACATCTGACTTGGCGCCGTATAAGCAATCCTATTTTTACTTACGTATTATAGTACTGTATGCCACTTAAAAATAAACCGTGGTTAATCGTGCCTTAAACAATTTATAATTGTTCTGCAAAGTCAACTATAGATATTGATCCGCCGTTGTCTCGATGTTATTTACCTAATAAAGAATAAAAATCATTCTTTCTGGAATATCCACATAAAAGAAATAAAAAACCTGTGATGTCATTATATTATATTTCAGCCCTTCATTCGCACACTATTATATAGCAAAAGGAATTTTATTGCGAGCGTGACAGCAACAGATATGGCAACAAATCCAATGAAAGCAATTATATTAACTGTTCTATTAATTAAATAAGATCTAAGCGACTAAAACCATTACTAAATATTGGAACAGATCAGAACTAGTGATCAGAAGTTGAGAATTTCGTGATATTAACATGAAAATAGATGAAATACTCTTAAACAAATATATAAATTGCCCCAATCTAGCCACATCCAATTAGTACTAAAATGACACACTTATTTACTGATCTATAAAATGACTCATTTTAAATTGATCTTAAAAAAGAATAATTGTCAAATCAAATATTGACAGGTTTTATTCAGCATTGTCGGCTGGATCCTGATCGTTATTACTATTTCTAATAATAGATGCAATATTCATGATGTTGACAGTTAGGAATTAGATTTATGAGTCTATTATTTGCATAATTGATGAATCGACCAATATTACAGGTCGATCACATTCAAGATGGTAATATAGAATCACTCCACTCTCATAGTTATCCTATTTGGAGATTTTATTAGCATGCGAAAATTCACTCTTGTAAATATAATACAGTATACAACCTCGAGAATCTAGCATCTACATTTCGAGTTTTAATAACAACTTTCATAACGAGAAAATTCCATTCACTATAATAAGAAAACATCATTGATAATTTTAAGGATCTGTATAGTCTGCAATCCCTATAATTAATATATTTGCAATATTTATTTTTTAAAATTAATACGATAAGTCATTATAAAAAACTATAAACGTCTCCACAATATTCAATGTTGCAGCTTCTTGAGAACATGTGCAAATATCCACATCCCTCAATTGGAAAAATCAGTCACTAAAATCGCATACATGAATAACTTACAAAAAGGCAATCGTAGGATTTGGACGTATTGATATCACATGATATTGATTTCAAGTACTGAAAAGCTAATATACATTACTTAATATTTCTCATTTATCGTTTTGATTAAAAGTGTCATTGCTAATGCTTTTAATTAAAATATCTTAATGAATCCCAATAGAGGCAAAACGGGTTAAAATCCAGAAGTGCTATTATTTAAGACGACTTTTCAATTGGTGTTGAATGGAGAAAGAATAAGAATAAATAGCATTTACTATTTGTATTGCCTGTATTAATTTAATCTCTCAATCATGATGCAGCTGAGGGAAGTATTGCATCGACAGATCTGTCATCTGGGACTTCTAGTCGCCATACACAAGCAGATATTAAAGAGTTTAAAATATCGAAAGATTCCAAAATAGCAAATTGTCATCTTAAAAATTCTACAAGATCAATACGTTACGTAAGATAATAGGAGATACAATAATAATAAATCAAAAAATAGATAATGACCGGATCACTATCAATAATACTATTTTTATATTACTACTAAAGAGAATAATGTCCGCTATACTAATAGGGTTTTACCGCTGTACATTTATTAAATATTCTTTTTGTTGGTTACTAAGTAATGCAAATAAGCCAAGTAGATACAACGCCATCAAGTCAATTAAGCTTCATTTTTTGTCTGCTACAGCATAAATTATCAGATATTAAAGGAAAGGAAATTTGCTATTACTCAGGCAATTAATTCTCTCACTTGTTCGATAACTTCTTAAATTAAATCAATTTATATGAAATTTTTTTAATGTATAATATTCCGATGAGATAGTCCGTACTAATTCACTAATAACTTCAAAAAAAGGCTAAATAATTTAATCTTAGATCAACGACAACGTATGTGCTATCTCTATCAAGAGTAATCAGAAAGTTACTTGGTTTACCGTAATTCTTAATAAAATTGTGTATACTATCACATCTGCAATTTATAAGAAATACTAGTAAGATGATAGCTAAAAGAGACATTATTAACTATTTTATCTTGTATTCTATTTTTAATGTGGTATCAGTTAATACAATTTCTTTAAGCACATTGAAGCCACATCCTGACGAGGTTACTGAATTACCTGGCCTTACCGCGACGCTCAATTTCAAGCACTACTCAGGTTACTTAAATGGTCTGCCAAATCATCGGTTGCATTATTGGTTTTTTGAATCGGCTAATAATCCGGCTACCGATCCATTATTACTATGGCTGAATGGTGGTCCAGGCTGTAGTTCGCTAGATGGATTATTCGCTGAGCATGGCCCATTTTTCGTTAAACCTGATCTTTCGCTGGGTCTACGTCAAAAATCATGGAATCATTTCGCTAACATTATTTACCTAGAATCGCCGGTAGGTGTTGGCTTCTCATATAGTCGAAATGATAATATTTCAGAATCATTGAATGATAACGTAGTAGCCAACGAAAATTATGCAGCTATCAAGTCATTTTTTAATAAATTTCCTAGTTATCGTCGGCATCCTTTCTACATTGCAGGTGAAAGCTACGCAGGAGTTTATTTGCCAACATTAGCTTTACGCTTGAAGAATGATTTGTCAATCAATTTGAAAGGTTTAGTTATTGGCAATGGTCTCCATGATATGAATTCGAACTTCAATTCCATTTTGTACTATGCACGTTATCATGGACTATTGGATCATACTCTATGGTTGCAATTACAACGAACCTGCTGTCAGAATGGTCAAATAGCGGATAATCAATGCCATTTCTTTCAGTCACATCAAAGCGATTGCTTGAAATATACAAAACGAGCTTACAATATCATTTTTACACAAGGCCTGAATATGTACGATGTCTCTCGCGACTGTCAAAATTCAAGCTCGATGAACATTCGACAACATGCCAATATTTTGACTCTTGCTCGAAAGCAAATTAGTTATGCTGTACCACCGTGTATGGATAATAGTTTAATTGCGGCCTATTTAAATCTGGCGCGTGTACAGAAGGCAATCCATACTCCAATTGGGCAAGCTATCCAATGGACTGTGTGTAATTTAACAATAAGAACCAATTATGATTCTATTTACCCATCTCCAATCCTGTTGTATAAGCAGTTGTTACCTAAATATAAGGTACTTATTTATAATGGTGATGAAGATATGATATGTAATTTTCTCGGAGCTCAGTGGGCAATTCAACTTTTAAACATGCCCTTATCCGGAGAATATCAGCCGTGGCGAATTCGAAAAGAGAATGGACTACAAATAGCAGGTTTTACTGCTCAATATGATAGGAATTTATACTTTGTGACTGTTAAAGGAGCCGGCCATATGGTACCAGAATCGCAACCTCATGCGGCTTACATAATGATGAAAAATTATCTGGATGGAAAAAACCCTAAGGATTGGCACTAATTATTCTATAGTACAGGGATATCCCTTTATCCTCTACTACATCCTTGCTATAGCTATTTATACATTGCGTATATTCTCAGCAGGCTTTCAACAGCTTCTCTTATTACCATTTGTAAAATCGTTTTTAGCACTGAAATAGAAATATTAGCCTGACACTGATGTTAACGATTTACATTACTAAAACAAAAGTGATCTTTAACATTAAATTTTTTTCGGATTACAACTGTTTTGATTTAGTGATGGATATACAGTAAATGAATGCTGTACATATTAGACCAATTATATCTATGGGGTATTATAATTACAGATGAACCAATAAAATTAATAGTTATATCAAGTGTTTAATTATTTTACGCTGGCCGTTAATATGGTAGCATGATTATAATATTGAAAGTTAATAAACTTTGATCAACAAAATTAAGAATCATATCTTGACAAGATTAAATCGATTATCAAGCATATCTTAACAAAAAGAGATTGAAAAGCAATCATATATGAAGACTACTATTGGAATTCTAGTCTGCATTGGCCATAGACATTGTAATGATAACCAATGTATGATATTTGACAGTTTAATGAATAGACATTATCATATTTTATAGAATCAAGAGGATGATAGAATACTTTACTTTAAGACCAGCATGAAATTAAACAGGACTATCCTAAGGGCTTACTACCTGCAAAAGATATAACTCAAAATCCATGCGTCCGGCGTAGTCTCGTGCAAATTATATAATTATTGCAGCCAACAACTTTTTTATTTCTATTTTTAATCGCAGTTGCTATCAGTATCAAGATATTCTTCAAGCAAATCGCGACTGTTGCTACGAATAAAAGGCTCGTTGTCGCCTCCTTCTGCTCTCTCCTAACCTTCGTAACTCGACGAGCTGGTAGGCTGCCGATATATTACCTACCTACGAGGCAGTATCAGTCATTGGCAAAAATTTCACCAAGTGTTTAATCAGAACATAGGATTTTACGCCTTTATTAGCTGCCAATATCGTATGCCTATACCGAGTCTACCGCTCTGAATAAGACATCAGCATCGAAAGTAGTAATTTATACATTAATTAATTATGTATCCAATTCTTCATCATGGAAAGTCTATTATTATAATTATTGCCATGATACAGTTTATAGCATAGTATATTCGAAATAAATAAAACAACTCTATGTACACTGTTTATACAGAGAGATAAGTAGAACTGTTCATGAATAATAATGATAATGGTAATCATTATTTTTCATTCATTTCTGATTCTGAATTTAGAATGAATGAACTATACTGTACCCGCGTTTGCCCAAGGTTCCATGGCTTTGCTGACACTGTATGGATGTGTAGTGCCGCATCAATTTTAAGATTCCTTCAGCTGAACTAGCTGAGTAATACTCTAGTTATAAATTACTGTGAGATTAGATAGTGTTTTGCTAATTCTAGCGAATTGATCAAATATAAGTGAAGTGAAGTAAGAGAGACCTTAAAGGATGATAGGGCATATTTTGCGTCACTATAGTCTATTTCATCTATAATTTTATACAGTTCCGTTTGATAGTTTCGCAAGCCCAAAGCGTTGCAGATTTTCATTGACTATGCAGGGGTAAACTGACCAAACTTAGGCACCACCCAGTACCGTATTATGTAGTTGAGCGAGTACTTGAGCACTCTACTTGAGCGTCTAGCATGAGTATTCAACAGTGTCCAATGTCCATCCGCCCACCACTGTCGATAGCATGGATCCGATACAGACATTTTTATTCTGTAAATAAAGGTCCGGTCCGGACTAGATCAGACCAGACCATGAAGATCACAGTACACTGTACTGTACTGTACTGTAGACTACTAAAAGAAGACCATCATGGACTCAGTCTTTTTTAAGTAGTCCTTAGTCCGCACTGAGTACAGTACAGTAGATACAGTACAATTAGATACAAGTGTACTGTACAGTACAGTACAGTACAGTATATACTGTACTGTACACTGTACTGTAGATTACTAAAAAAGATCGTACAGTGTGTACAGTACAGTAGTCCTTCTTTTCGTACTGTACACTGTACAGTACACTACGAAAAGAAAACCGTAGTCCGTACTGAGTACTGTACAGTACTACAGTACGGTCTTCTTTAGTGGTCTACAGTGTACAGTACTGTACACTGCACAGTACAGTATCTAAGGATGTTCATGGTCTAGTCTGACCTGGTCCAGACCCTTTTCTATAAAATAAAAATATCTGTATGCAAATCATTCCGACCTGCTACAACGTGCATCACAGCAACTACCAGCTATTCTATCGACCGTTGCATCTACTGTACAGTATGTTACACCATCTGGAGTGTTTGGTATCGTATCGTACTGTACAGTATATCGTGCGCAGGTTCTATTCACTCATTTTGATGTACTGTACAGTATACTTAATCCAGCAAGCGAGTCAATTCAGTATCGCGGATCTCGAGTTTGCGGTGCAATACTGTACTGTACACTGTACAGTACAGTACAGTGTATTGCATCTAC